GAGTCAACCTTGAAGGCAGTGTCGGGGCAAAAAGTCGACTTAGGTATTCTGTGTTTGTCCGGCATTTTGGTATGCTGAATGAGAAAACCAAACTGGAGCGCGCGAAAACGAGGCGAAAAATGGCTCTAACGCAGGAGGGAAAATCAGCAAATGGGCCAATCTTCGCCACTGTATTTTCGCGCTCCCAGCTTCCGAAGCGATCCTCTCAGTTCCGTTTCAAATACCTTTCGCAACTAGCCGGTGGCCATGTCAGGGCGGCTAACGAAATCGAGAAGATTGCTCTGGAAGCTGGAGTGGAGTTGACAGTGGGAAAGACCCCGCCTATCTGCTGATTTTCCCTCCTGCATTAGAGTCATTTTTGCCGCTTTGCGCTCTTTAGGTTTTCTCATTCAGCATAGCAAATATGCAAGCACAGAATACCAAAATCAACTTTTTGCCCAGATACTGCCTTTAACAACTATGAAACTGAGCAGCATCAAAGATTGCAGAAAAATTGAAATGTCATCTCAAATGATAAATCGCATTGAATCGTTTTATTTAATCTATCCAACTGTTATAAATGACTCTAATGCGTATTGCGGTCTTAATCCTGCAAGCATTTGAACGCGTTGGAAAACTTGTTAACCATTTTAGAGCACTAGCTTTCTACTCTCTAGCTATCAGAGACTGCGCTCATAAGTCGGCAGGAAAGAAACTGAGTGTTGCTAAAAAAGCGCTAGCATTTTTTTCTCGTCTTCATGAGGCGGAGGAAGGAATATGGAAAATGGCGCGAGTTTTGTGCTGAGTAAGGTTGGCATTAAGTATGCAATCATATAACTTCTGATTTCTTGCATGTGATGCATTCTGCATGATGCGTTCCCTACAATCTTGTGTAAAATGAATTGAATTACAGTGTAACCATTTCTGCCGGATCCAGCTATCAATACAAATTTACGGTGATCAGGGTAAAAAAAGGAAGTAGTTGCTTTGAGTACTGCAACTTTTTGTGAAGGAACTATTAAACATGCTGAACGAAAACACTATCCATTCTGCGGAGTTT